ACCGATATGTAGCGCCATCTAGTGTACCTAAATTCATCTAAAAATGTTCATAAAAGTGACCCAAAAAATGGGGCTAACGTGGTAAATCGTGGCTCGATTTTAACAAACTTGTTTTATTCTGTTTCTATTATCATTTCTATTTTCATTTCATTACAAATATGGCACTATTTTGCTCCGTTTTTGCTATATTTAATTACAGACAAGCAAACACACACAAACAATCTCAGAGTTTTAATATATAGATATAGTAATGTAAATGTATGGGTGTGTTGGGCTAAGGATTCTTTTACAGTAGGTGTCTGTGACTTGTTGGCGATAAATTGACAATAAATGAACAGTATGCACTCCACTTGTTTTTAAAATAATATATGTATTCAAAGCGAGTTAAACATATGTACAAAATTCTTTATACTAAGGAGACCATAGTTGTATTTTAAACACTATATAGTTCTCTTCTTCTTGTCAAAAGTCCACTTAGGCCAATTCAATTGCTTTAGAATTCAGTTGACAAGCCAAACTATTTTTATCACAATAGTTTCCATGTGTAATTCAGATATGCTGTTGCATGAGTTACCACAGTTGTATCCTGAACTTCCAGTTATCATCTGCTTTTCCTACGTCCAATAATCGACTGCCTTTTGTAGAAGTCCACACAGGCAGGTTTAATTAGCTTAGAACACCCTTGGATGAGCCAAATTATTCTCCTTATGTCTTTCAAAACTGTTAATCTCAATCTAACATATCAACCATTAGGTCATTCACTCCTACGATGGTTAACTTTATATTTTTTTAACTCTTCTCTGATCAAACTTCTCTTTCATGTGACTACTTTTACTCTGTTTTCACTTGTCTGGTTGCAGCTATTTATACATCTATCACATAGGCCTACTAGAAATCTCCATAACCTCAACATCAATGGATTGCACACAATGTTCAATAGCCTCGACATCAGTGAATTACAAACACAAAATTAATTAATTAATAATACTACTTACACTAAACAATCTTTTATATCTTACAGGGTCTAAGGATCTATGATTCATGACAAGAATTAGTGGTGTTGACTATGTCTTTCATCTAATTTGTCATATAAATTAAGGACAGGTAGCTCACCTAGCCCTTGTGTAGATTTGTGTGACATCCAGCAAACAAACATTATCATGATCAGTATCATATACAATAATCTAACCGTCAATTGTTGATTTATAAATTTTTTATTTTATTTTAGTTATTAATTTATAATTAGTTTTGGCACTATATATTATCAGGAAATCTTGTAAAGAAATGCATATGGTGGCAAAACTGAATTGAAACCCAGGTGTTCTTATGAGAAAGGCATGTACAATGAATGACCACTTTTCTGGTATCTTGTGACAGTTGGGCTTAATTCAGTTAAGTATTCAGATGTGTTTATTTTTAAGTGGGGTGTCTAGGTTTAGCTGTCTTCTATGCTAGGTGTATTTTGTTTCCAATTATACTGAATTATGTGATATTTTTCTTTGATAGAATGGACTGCTACAGATAGATCTGTGTTACAATCTTGTATACATGTTGTGCTTTTGAATTCTTAATAGTTTTTTCCTAATTGATTCTTGATGTGGTGTGCACTAACTGCTATATTGTTCTGTTGTGATATCTGAAGACAAAAAGAAATTTGTCAGTGTGTGTGTATAATTTGCTTCCTGCTTATTCCTAACATTCATCTTCATCAAATATTCAGGATATCCATTGTCAAGGAAAGCTACACTGATGATAGAAATGGTTTCAATCCCCCAGTCTGCTCTGCAGATACATTTTAAAATGTTTTTCAAAGAACTGGAGAGAGAGAATATTCTTACTATACTACTGATATAAAATCATAACTTGTAACAGTTATCAGGTGTTTGGTAAGAAAAAATCATAAGCATCACAAGTGTATATGTTATTGTTTTTGTCACTTGTTTCTTTATGAAACAAATACTTTTCCAAACTCCTGTAATTCTGTATACTTTGATGTTAGTGCAAAAACTGCATGTTTAAAATTTTTATCATGTGCAGTTAAGTAATCACCTGTAGTTCAAGAATATTTTGGAAACACAGCAGTGTATAATTAACTTTATTGGTTTTATTTTTTGAGTGTGCAATGCAGAAAACCGAATAAATAAAATCAGTCATCTCATTGATATAACATTTAGGGGTAGTGTTTTGGTGTTATTTTTTTTCTGCATAGAACTAAAAATAATCTTTTTATGTAAATTTGAATTTAAAATCACATGATAAAAAATTGAAACTTTGAATAATCCTTCTTTTTTATCTATTGCATTACACAAGGATATCTACAGGGAAGTTGTGGCAACCTGAAGATGAAAAAACAACAAACTATAATGAGTACACTGGAATGGGTGGCAACTGCCTGCTTTAGAAAAACACAAATGTACAGAACTTGTGTTTTTTCTACAACAGGCAGTTGTCGTCCATTCCAGTGTACTCATCATGAATACTTTGCATAAACAATTTATCAAAGAACAAACTATGCTAATTATGTTACACAAGGAATGTGTATAGGAAGGTTCAGGGCAGGGCACGTGCTATAAATGAAAAAACAAGAAATAGTAAGAGACCAGAAGTGTTGTCAGTAGGCAATGAAGTTCAACTTGTTTTCAGTCTCCCTGTTTCCTCATTATGAAAAACAATATAAGAAAGTATATATGTAAGTTTAATACATCTTTTCTGTACAGTCTCGAGTGAATTAAATAAACAGTGAAATGGATGAAACAGTTACCAGTTCCTGTCTTCTTGTTCAATATAACTATGGTATATAAACCAAGAATGAGAAATACACCCCATATGTAGGTTATAGTGTATCTTATTCTGTATTGTCTTAAATGCAAATATATATGAACAGATACATTATATTCTAATTATATATTTTACAGTCACTTTCCATAAGATCGCTTTTGTAAAATAAGGAAACAAAGTGGGAACAAGTTCAACAACATCAGTAGACAAACAAGCCGTGTGTTTCCCAGACTTAATGTTCTTCATATACCTTCAAGCACTACAATATTGATTCTGATAACCTGACTTAAATCTCTTTCTGTAAGTATAAGATATGAAACAAAGTTTTTGCATCATATAATAAAATCTGGTCCCTTTCATTTAATTGTTGTTGCTTTATGACTGATTAGAGAAAATTTAAGTACAATACTGTACCTCGTAACTTTGAACTATGTTTTAGAAGTGAGTAGAGAGAATTCTTACACAGTACTGTACCTGTGCTGCAACTTTGAACTATGTTTTAGAACTGAGTAGAGAGAATTCAGGTACAGTACTGTATCTTTGAACTATGTTTCAGAACTGAGTAGAGAAAATTTAGGTACGATGCTGTAAGTCTACAGTAGTAATATTGGTGAAACTGTTCATAACAAAATCCCTTTTGTCACAGTAAAATATTTGTTTGCAGGCATTATGTGACAATAATAATCTTGATGAAACTGATCATAACAAAATTCCTTTTGTCACAGTAAAATATTTGTTTGCAGGCACTATGTGACAATGATAATATTGGTGAAAATGGATGTAACAAAATTCCTCTTATCACAGTAAAATATTTGTTTGCAGGCACTATGTGACAATAATAATATTGGTAAAACTGGATGTCACAAAATTCCTTTTTTCACCAGTAAAATATTTGTTTGCAGGCACTATATGTCAATAATAAAATTGGTGAAACTGGACAAAACAAAATTCCTCTTGTCACAGTAAAATATTTGTTTGCAGGCACGATATGACAATAATAATAGTGGTGGAACAAGTCATGAAGAAGTTGTTATTGTCACCAGTAAAATTTAATTTTGCTGGCACCATATGGCAATAATAATATTGGTGAAACAGATGATGACAAACTTGTTATTGTTACAAATCTAAACAGTTTACCAACACCAATCAGTAGTATTTAGCACCTGTTCTCAGAACTGGCAACATATATGATGTAGATATTAACCACTGATTCCAC